GAATATGTGAAACAGTTTACTCTTGTATTATTATTTATTAATTATTGTATTATTTGTATTGCAACTGTAAATCTACTTTTGCCCACCCCTGTATGTAAGATTACTAACTCTTTATAAAGTGCAACAATCAGATGCACAAAACGGGAACCGAACTTACAAACCTCACTGACCCCATACTCTAATCATCAAGTTCATCTGTCCCAACAAATAAAGCAAGTGCCACAGAGAAATGTAACAGATAAACCCAGGAATAAAGTCACTACCTAGTTCCAGGCCGAACTCTACAAGCACTAAAATGATTTCAAGACTTCTACTACCAGTTTTGATCTTTGCATGAGGACAGACCATCAGGGACCAGGGGCGGGACTTATCTCTGTTAAGTCAGCTCCCCTCTGGTTTGGGGAGCGCACTTTTCCTTTCCTCCAGAGCAGTGGTTCTCAACCTTCCTAATGCCGCGACCCTTTAATACAGTTCCTCATGTTGTGGTGACCCTCAATTTCATTGTTACAAATTGAACATAATTAAAGCATAGTGATTAATCACAAAAACAATATGTAACTATATATGTGTTTTCCGATGGTCTTAGGCGACCCCTGTGAAAGGGTCGTTCGACCCCCAACGGGGTCGCGACCCACAGGTTGAGAACCGCTGCTCCAGAGGCTGAAGGCTATGTTTCCCAGCTGGAGCTGAGATACCAAAAAAGTCTTCCCGAAGAGCTGCCTTGCCCTGGGGCTGCCTCACAGCCCTGAGGCTTCTCACTTGAGCTGTAACACGACTGAACTGGTCCACAGCTGTACTGTATCAAACCTGAGCTGTTCGCACTGAATAAAGTTTCCTTCTTCACCACTCCCCACATTGGAGATTCCCCTTGGCACCAATGACCATGGATTGACAGTCCTTAGGCGATTTCATCACTGTGTGAACATCAGAGAGGGCACTTACACAGGCATAGATAGATGGTATGGCCTACTACACACCGAGGCTACGTGGTACAGTTTATTGTTCTGCAGGGGAGGAAAAATAATTCCCCTCTATCCTTCAGAGCGCTTGGCTGAGACATCCCTGTACTAAAAGACAGATTAGCAGGAGAAAAAGAAACACAAGTTTGGTAATAAATATACCTCCTGTATACATGAAAGAGACTCATGAACTGTAACTCCCCAAAACCTTCAGCAGAAAAGACAGTGAGGGTAGGGAGCCAGTTATGAGAAGTTACAAGGAAATGACAGTAAACAAGGTTAAGGCTGTTGTCCAGGTTTAACAACACTGTCTTCTGCATTGATAAGAGTTTCTATAGGAAAGGTCATGCCTAGCTTGCAGCAAGGGAGAAACCCTTACAGATGTAAATGTCTCAGAATAACTTCTACTGGTTTTCAGAACTTCTCCCCTATCTGTTGTTTCTTAAAACTAGCCGGCCTAAAATAATCCTTATGTCAAAGAGACATATTTGGGGGTGAGAAATTCTGTTCCCTTATAGCTCTACAAACCTACACAACATGTCACTGTACTGAATACTGAAAGTAACTATGACACCATGGGAAGTATTTATGTGATGCCTTGCCCTATGACATTGTGTTACCTATGACATCATTAGGCAATAGGAATTTTTCCCTTGCATTGTAATCTTATGGGGCTATCATTATATGCATGGTCCGTTAACTGAAACATTGTTTCACAATGCATGACTATAAAGATATAGACTCTAGATGTTTTGAAGACCTGTAAGTTTAAAAGAAAATTATGAAGTTAATACATAAAATAGAAGAGTAATTTTCTGACTTCTTTTTTTGTTGTTGTTGTTAATCCTCACCAAAGGATATTTTGCCATTGACTTTTAGAGAGTGGAAGGGAGTGGGAGACAGAAAGAGAAACATTGATGTGAGAGAGACACATTGATTAAGGATCCAGCCTGCAACCAAAGTACATGCCCTTGACCAAGATTTTTCAGTCTGCAGGCCAAGGCTGATAACAAACCCCCCAAAACAAAAACCATACGTTTTCTTTAATCATAATTAAAGATTTCTGTTCAATAAAGGGCATCATAAAAAAGTTATAGACAAATGACAGAATAGGAACAGATGTACTTGTAATATTTAAAGGACCAGTATCTAGGAAATACAAGGAACTTTAGAACAACAAGAGCTGAAACCTCAAATTAAAAAAGGGGAAAGGAATGGACAGGCAATTTTATACAAGGGAAAACCCAAAAAGATAAAATGCACATGAAGAAATGTTCAATCTCATTAGGCATAGTGAAATGTAATTTTAAATGAATTTTTACTTTGTTATCTATTAGTCTGATGGGGCTATAAAGAGATAGAAGCTCTTGAACTGCCTGCAGGAGTGCAGACCATTGCAGCTTGTTGGAACACAGTCTGGCAGTCTTTCCGTAAAATATGTACATAAATGTCCCAGGATCCAGAAATCACATTCCTGGATATAAATCTCAAAGAAAGCATCACAGAGGTCTAAAGGTATATTTATCATTGTATTGTCTATAGTGGTAGGAAAATGAAGGTAATGTGGGTATCCACAAATGGAGAGTAGACATAAAACGTTGTGAAGTAAGAAAATGTTTGTCTATGTAACAAAATTACAAAAACTCAGTCAATTTCTCATACAGCTGGTGATTCTTGCCACCTTGTCCATGAAATCCTAAGCAATTAACATCAGAAAGAGTCATAGCTTGTCTTTCCTGATTCCTGGCAAATGTTACTGTGAATGCAGGCTGTAGCTCACATTAAATCCTAAAATCAACAGCATCAACAAGCCTGCGGTGGAACTGTAACTCCTACCAGTGTTGCAAATTATAAGTAACCAGCAAATTCTGCCCAGCATTTGAGAAACTGACATAGCAAGTGAATCAAAACTTAAAACGCAATATTTGAATCAGAGGCAGGGTTGTGCTGACTCCAAACACATCGCTTCAGAACGCTGCGTCCCATTGGTGAGAGGGAGTAGTAGGTACTTTCTTAGACCAAGTCCTAGCAGTGGTTCTCAACCTGTGGGTCGCGACCCCTTTGGCGGTCGAACGACCCTTTCACAGGGGTCGCCTAAGACCATCCTGCATATCAGATGTTTACATTACGATTCATAACAGTAGCAACATTACAGTTATGAAGTAGCAACGAAAATAATTTTATGGTTGGGGGTCACCACATGAGGAACTGTATTTAAAGGGCCAGAAGGTTGAGAACCACTGAAAGGGTTGAGAGCGGGCAGGTGGCCTCTCACAGATGAGACTCTAACAGACGCCTCGATCCCTTAGGCAAGGGCAAACTAAGGAGGAGTACCAGCGGGTAGGGAGAGCATGGCACCCCCAAAGCAAACACGTTACCGGAAAACACTGTCAATAGCCACCCACCCATCATCACGAAGCACCTCGCCCCGTTTAGATTGCCACTGAGAACAGAGCGGTCCCATCGCAAGACCAAAGCCAGTGTCACCAGAAGCAAATGTCACTTACCAGGCCAGGGAGCCCCCAAAACACCACCCACCCTCCCCTAGCTCGCCCCACGACCCGGCAAAGGCGCACCGTTGTGGGCCTGCACCTCGGGCGCAGCACAGCACCGAGCTCCCAGCAGCGGAGCTGACAGCTGGCGCCGCCACCCCCGACCCCGGGAGCCCACGATCTGCACGTTTGGGTGCAGCCCGCCGTGGAGATCCCCCACGGGGAGGCTCGAAAGCCGGCTCCCTACCTGTCACAGCTTCATCTCACGCCCTGGTGTGGTCTGTCTGACCACCCGTAGACGCCTGGGCGAAGGAGCGCCAGGCCAGGGCGTCTCTAAGAAGCCTGTGGGTGGGGAAACTTAAGGGACGGCAACCCCCAGCCCAGCCGCCGCCTCCCCGCCGGGGCTGCAGGGTGTCGCTACCGCCGCCGCCGCTGCGGTGAATCAGCTGACACCGGCCTCCACTGCTGTGACTTTTGCTGCAACTGTCGCAAAAGAAGACGAGGGGGAGGGAAATGCACACCGTCTGCAAACACGCCTGGAGGCGGAACGGAGGGGAAGGGGTGAGTGTGGGCAAGGAGTGCACGGCTGCCATTTTGGTTATGGGAAGTCTGGTCTAGGCTCTCTTCTCGCCTCCAATGCCCAAGGTGGAGGGAAGCGTGAAATGCCAAGTGTCGGTGTTTGCTCCTCGTGATCAGGCTGTTGCAAGTTTATTCTTCTGCCCCCGCGCCTCGGCCCAAGAGCCTGGCAAGTGTTAGCTCCGGCACTTGGATACTGTTTTCCTCTTACCCCCGAATTCAGCGGTCGCTCACACAGAGGGCCAGGGGGAGAGCCCAGCTACTTGACTAGAGGAAGTCTGACCTTGCGCCACATTCCCACAGAGGAGAGAGAAGGGATGCACACGCGGCTTCTCTTCATCCCCCTCATATGTCCCCATATACAAAATAGGCATCATAACCTCATGGGTGTCTGGGGATTAAACAAATGTTAATTACTGACTATGTTGTCTACCTTCCTCCCAAATATTTGTTGAATGAATGGTTGATACAGTCTTTTTAAAAAATAATCTTTTTATTGATTTCAGAAAAAAAGGGAGAAGGAAAGAGAGATAGAAACATCAATGATGAGAGAGAATCATTGATTGGCTGCCTCCCGCATGCCCCCCCACTGGGGATCGAGCCCACAATCGGGGTATGTGCCCTGACAGGGAATCAAACAGTGACCTACTGGTCTGGAGGCCAATGCTCAACCACTGAGCCACGCTGGCCAGGCGATACAGTCTATATCAGACTGCCCTGGATAAGGTGAGATTATGAGAGGTCTTGAATGTCCTCGTAAGCTTTTTTTAGACTTTATTCCAAAGGCAATGAAAAGCCATTGAAGACTTCTGACCAATACATAGAGTGGTGCTTTTCCTATCAGTATTGTATTTGTTTATACTGCTGTATAACAAATTACCACAAATTCGGTATCTTAAAGCAGCATGCACTTATTGCTTCACAGTTTCCAGGGGAAAGGAGTTCAAGCACAGCTTAACTGAGTTCTCTGCTCATGATCAATCGGCTACCACTGAGATGTCAGCCAGACTGCATTCTCAGCTGGAGGCTGACGGGGAAGAATCTGATTCCAAACTCACTGAGGCTCATTCATTTCCTGTGGCTGTATGAGGAAGAGCTTGGACCTCAGGTCCCACAGGCTACCCACAGTGCTGTGCGACATGGGCCTTCCCAAAGGCTCTCTCCTCAACATGGCAGCTCACTTCTTCAGAGCTAGCAAAGGGAATTTCTCTGCTGAGCACAGGAAAGCAGAAATCACATAGCTATCAGTATAAATAATACAAATAGATAGAGATAAAACTATAGATAATAAACTCGCCAAGGGAGTGACAGCCCATCACCTTTGCCATATGCTATTGGTTTGAAGCAAGTCACAGGTTTCACCTGCACTCAAGGAGAGAGTGTCAGTCACAAATATTAATCTGGCAGAAACGCATCATGAAAATTAGGTGGGAAAGACAGAGAGGCAAGGTGATAAGTTGTCACTGCTGTTGTTTTAGCCAAAAGATGTGTAGTTGTCACCAGAACAGAATCATAAAATGGAACCCATGGGATAAGGCTTTAGAATTTAGTAGCAATTACCCTATACAACACACCAATACTTCCTGGACTTCCTAAATTCCAAGTTAGTTCTCTAAAAGGCAAGAATTATTCCTCCATTTTACAAATTTCAAAAAAGGGAGATTATCACGCTGCCCAGTGCTCTACACGGAGACCACATTATCACCATCATTTTGGATTGTTTCATGTGTGCAGTTATTTTTTTCCTCATTTGTAAATTTGTTGTTTGGTGCTCCCCCACAGTGCCTACTACTTCGCTAATTCTGTTCTTTCCTTAGTGGACCCATTCCCCTAAAAGTCATGTCATGATTGAGGGTTTCACAATAGCACTGAGAAACTCACACATTATTGCGCTGCAGAATGGCTTAATGATTAAAACTACTTAAGAGCTTCCCTTTGCACTCTTTCACATGACATGAACGTCTACTGTTTTGAGACTTCTCTGTTTTTCCTATCTCATGACTTCCACTGAATTAAACCATTTCTTTCTAAGTAACAGAACGTCTTTTTAAAGAAGTATCTCTATTTACTCCATATTCTAGGGAGGAGTGAAGGTGATAAGATTGGGATGCTCAAGCTCCTCATAAGTGAGGGTTTAGGGGCCCCTCACCGAGCTACCAAGATCAGCAGGGGGAAGTTAGGATAGTAAAGAAGGTGATGAGTGTCACTTGTGGCCCTGTCCCCAGGGGCTGTAGTTTGTCCTACTAACCTCCCTCTTCTGTTTCCTATCAGGATGAGAGGATCCCCAAAGCCCTGGAAGAGTTACTCTTTGCACCTGTGTGAAGAAGAGGATCCACATGCTATAAATCGTGGACTGTGGAAGACACAGAGGTGCACTACCCAGATTCCTCTTCCAGAAAAAAACACTTCCCAGCTCTATGGAGAGTGGTTTGTGCACTGCTCCTGCTATTAGCTTCTTCAAGGTTGCCTCAGCTGTCCAGCTGGCGTTACCTATTCTTGGCATAACCCCTGGAAAATGCTTGAGTAAAACAAAGTTAAGAGCACACTCTTCTTGGAAAGACCCCCAGTCAATGACTATCAAAAAGGTGTACCCTTCTTCTCACTATACCACCTTCTTCTCCCTTTTCCTCCTCTTCTTCTCCATCTTCTCCTTTTCTTTCTCCTCTCCTCCTCCTTCTTCTAACCACTTAAATTTTTTCAAATAAAAAATATTTCAAAAAGAAATAAAGATTAAACAGTGGCTATGAGTACTTTACTTTCCTTTTCATGAAATAGTACTGTACTTTCTTTCAGATGTCCAAAGTGGAACAGCATCATTTATTCAACACCCAGTGCTGGATACTGTACTGAGCTGGGCATGCAGGTAATGCAGAGAGCTGGTTCTGTGGTCACGTTGCTCACAGTCTGGCGAGAAGACAGTTACATCTACCGTGAGCACAGTGTGAGAAGTGATGTGCGGTGGTACTTTCTGCCACTTGCAGTGGGTCTGATCCTCCTCCTTTCATTTTATTTTAATATGCTGAGTTTTGGTGGTAAACATTGTGTGTTTTTATTTATTTATTTATTAAATATATTTTATTGATTTTTTACAGAAGGGAGAGGGATAGAAAGTCAGAAACATCGATGAGAGAGAAACATCGATTAGCTGCCTCCTGCACACCCCCTACTGGGGATGTGCCCGCAACCAAGGTACATGCCCTTGACTGGAATCGAACCTGGGACCCTTCAGTCCCCAGGCCAACGCTCTATCCACTGAGCCAAACCGATTAGGGCACATTGTGTGTTTTTAAACTTGTTTTTTTTCCCCATCACCATTTGGAAAACATTGTTTTTAACATTGTATACATAGCCACTTCCTTGTAAAGAATTCACTAACATACATTTTATTTTTCTGAATGTCTTCAGTGCCTAGTCCTCAGATGTATTCAAAGTCTGCAAATATTGGCACTCAAGAATGGATTGACTGCCCTAGCTTGTTAGGCTCAGTGGATAAGAGCGTTGGCCTGTGGACTGAAGGGTCCCAGGTTCAATTCAAGTCAAGGGCACATACCCAGGTTGCGGGTTTGATCTCCCAATAGAGGGCGTGCAGGAGGCAGCTGATCAATGATTCTCATCATTGTTATCTCTATCTCCTTCTCCCTTCCTCTCTGAAATCAATTTAAAAAATATTTTAAAAAGAATGGATTGACTGATATGTGTATGTGTCTGCTGGAGGACATGCCTGAGAGAGCGAGCTGTGAATATCGTGGAAGCCTCTCTTAAGAGTCTTATCATTTCTTCCCTATCTGTACATTCTAGCCAGACAATGTCTACTACAGTACCACAAGCAAGAGAGAACTCTCTTTACAAGCAAAAATATAGTTATATGTAGTTATGTGTAGTTTTTCCCTTCCAAAGAGTTAATTCCAACTCCCAATAGACTCTTTAAAAAAATTAAAATATGGATTTTAATTTCAGAGGCTGAGGTGATGGAAATATTTGTCTAAATATCTAGTTTTCTTAATAGAGACTCTAGGCAGCTTAATGACTTCTGAACCTTAGATATATTATTCCAAAAGAATAAACTATTTAATATTTCTGGGAAACTCCCAAAACTGACTCTTAGAATTGTCAGCAAGGTTCTTCAGTTTTTTCCAGTAGAAAAAAATATTCAGGACAGTGACAGATCACTATACTACTTCCTAGGAAACCCTCTACTCCAAGATACTGCCTACTGACCAAAACTAAAGAATATATACTATAGTGGGACAGTGGTCCATCTGGTGACTTTAAATGGAATTATTTAAAGAAGCAGTTGATATCTTAGGGGAAATCACACCCCTTTGACTGAAAAGATATTGCGCCATCTAGAGACAATTATGAGAAATGGTATTCAGTTTTCAAATCCGGCAGCATATTACTAAAAAGTGTTGGGAAATTATGAAGCACGATTTATTTTCTATTTAATATTTATATTACACATTTTCCCCTCAAAACTTTAGTAAGGCAAAGATTATCATGTGAAATCAACTATCCAGTTGATAAGCAAAGTTAAATTGGTATAATATAAAATATTCTAAGTTCTCTACTTCTTCAGAAATAAGGTAAAAACACTCTAGTAAGCAGCAGTTATTTGTATGTGTATATACCACACATACACATACACACAAGGGTGCAGCCAAAGGAAACAGAACTGTAGGCTGGCTCAGCTCTGGCTGCAGTTTCTAGTGTCTGCCTTGAGGAAAGAGGATTATAGGTATAGACAAAATACCTATGAACATGCAGTCAGAGGGGTTTCCCTGCACTAAAAATAGATTCCCTAGTAGAGACGTGAAAGGAAAAGAAAGAGCCTTGAGGTCTTGGTTCCTTGAAGTGGAGAGAAGTAGAAACCCA